AATGCCTATGTTAGATAAGCCTTGCTCAGGCATTAGTTATGGTGCTGTTCACCATTAGTTCAGTGTTTATGAATCAGCAATATTAAATAAGGTGTCTCTAAACAAAAAGACACGTAACACAAGATTAAGTATTATGAAAATGTGACCAGAGGCTTGCTGGAACTTAATCCTATATTTGTCCTCTGAGCAATAGTTTCAATATGTATCAGTTCAGTGTTTGTAGTGACTTTATGCAACACTGCTACTGAGAATACTGAGAACTGACTGTATATAAACAAAAGTTGACAGAAATGAGATAGACAGATCTATAATCATAATTGGTGATTCTAATGCAACTCTCTCAGTAACTGGTAGAAAAGTAGATTAAAAAAACCAATAGGGATACAGTACAGGAGTCAGCAAACCACAGCCCGAAGGCCAAAACCAGCCCACCACTGTTTTCTAATAAATAAAAAACACCACCACTGTCAGTTTTTTTGTAATAACATTTTATTGGAACACAGCCACATTCATTGATGTATTACCCATGGCTGCTATAACACTACAACTGCAGAGTTCAGTAGCTGCAACTGAGACTGTATCTCCCACAAAGCCTAGTATCTGATATTTACAGAAAAAGTTTGCTGACCACTGACATACAAGATTTAAGTGACATAACTAACCAACTTGACTGACATATACAGGATAACCTCTACATAACGATATTCTCATGCACTTTGTACATTAAACAAAAACCAGACAATATGTCTCACTAAAGTAGAAAAAATTACAATCATGCAGCAGCATAGCTTTGGATCTTAGCTCAGAGATGTAGAGAGCTAAAAAGAGCAAGCTAATATCCATACTAGAACATAGCTGGGCAAATGAGAATTAATATCTTTTTGAACTTATCAGGAGAGAGACGGGCACCTGCAGGGAGAATCAGGACCTGCTCATTCACTACACTCCGTGTAAGATAATTAGGAAGATAAAACTGGAAAATTTTAACTTGCTAAAAGCCAAGTATGTCTTAGTATGAGTATGCAAAGTCCCTGGGGGCTGCTCATTGGGGGATTTCCACCTTGCTACAAGATCAAAGATAAAACCAAAAGAGAAATTAGAAAATACACTGAGACTACTGAAAGTGAAAACACAAAATACAAAAATATATGCAATGCCCTTAAAGCTGCGATTAGGGTAAAATTTATAGCTGTAATACAAACATTAAAAAAGATCTCAAATCAATAATCTAAACTATACCTTAAGGAACTAAGTACAGGTGGTGATATTAATACTGACTTTGCAGAAATAAAAAGGACAGTAAAAGAATACAATGAACAATTGTACACCTATAAATTAGATAAGCTAGATGAAATGACAAATTCCTGAAAACACACAAACTACCAAAACTAACTCAAAAAGAAAGAAACATCTGAATAGACCCATGTGAGGAGACTGAATAAGTAATCAAAATCCTCCCTACAAAGAAAAGCCAAGACCAGCTGGCTTCACTGGTAAATTCTACCAAACATTTAAAGAACTAACACCACTACTTCTCTAGTTCTTCCAAAAATAGAAGAGGAGGGAACATTTCCTAATTCATTCTACGAATTACTTTGAACCAAAGCCAGACAAAAAATCACTAGAAAACTGTAGTTCAATATCCTTTATAAATATAAGCACAAAAGTTCTCAAAAAAATACTAGCAAACCAAGTCCTATGGCAAATAAAAAGGACTAAACACATGACAAAGTACAATTTATTCCAGGAATGCAAGGTAGCTTACTATAAAAAAATCAATATAACACATCACATTAAAGATGAAGGAAATAAATCACATGATTATCTTGAGTGTTGTAGAAGGGCATTTCTAACCAACCAACACCCTATCATGATAAAAACAAACAAATAACATAGTAGTAATAGAAAGAAGCTTCCTCAACACAATATAAAGCCTTTCTGAAAAACTCACAGCTAACATCATATACTAGGTAAAAGACAGGAAGCTTTCCTCTAAAGATTGGGAACAAGACAAGGATGCCTGCTTTTGTCATTTCTATTCATGGTACTGGAAGTTCTAGGCAGAGTGAATAGGCAAGGGAAAAAACAGCATCAAATTGGTAAGGAAAAAGTAAAACTATCTCTATTCATAGACCACATGATTTAATGTATAGAAAATACTAAAGAATCCACAAAAAAGTATTAAGAGCTAATAAATGAATTCAGCAGTTTTAGGATACATGATGAACACACAAAAATCATTTGTATCTCTATACACTATAAAAGAATAATTGAAAAATTAAGAAAACAGTATCATTTACAATAGAGTAAAAAAATAATAAAATACTTCGGAATAAATTTAACCAAGGTGCATGACTTATATATCAACACTAGAAAACATTGCTAAACGGAATTAAAGAAGATCTAAATAAATGAAAAGACATTCTATGTTCATGGATAGGAGCATTTGATATTGTTAAGGTGGCAATACTCCTAAAAATGATCCACAGATTCAATGATACTTGCATTAAAATCCCAATGGCCTTTTTGGAGAAATCTTGATTGTACAATTCATATGAAATACATTGGACCCTGAATAGTCAAAACAATCTTATAAAAAAAGAATAAAGTTGGTGGAATCACACTTCTTGATTTCAAAACTTACTATACTATAATGCAACAGTAAGCAAGATAGTGTGGTACTGGCATAAATATAGACATAATTATATGTGGTACTGGCATAAATATAGATCTATGGAATAGCACTGGGAGCCCAGGAACAAACCCATGCATCAACCATTTATTAGGAAAGTAATTTTTCCAACAAATGATGCTGGGATAGTTGAATAGCTATATCAAAAGAATGAAGTTGGACTTCAACCTAATATCACATTAAAGAATTACCTCATAATGGATCAAAAACCTAAATAAAGAGCATAAACTACGTAACTCTTAGAAGAAATCAGGAGTAAACCTTCATGACCTTGGATTTGGTAATGGTTTCCTAGATATGACACCAAAAGCACAAGAAACCAAAGAGAAAAATAAAGTGGACTTCATTGAGATTAAAAGGTTTTATGCATCAGAGGATACTTACTATTAAGATGAAAGTTTCACTGACTTTGAGAATCATGACATCACACCCAAATTAGCATTTCAGCCTCACCTAGTTGCTATCACCAAGGCACCTAAGAACCACAGATGGAATTGACTGAGCTCTCAGTAGATGACATTTCAAAGTCATTGTTTGATGCTAAGAAAGATACAGTTGAAATATGGAAAAATGGAGTAGAATACCCATGCCTTTGCAACATGCCCGGAAAATGCTTTCTTGCTTTTCAACCACTTATTGCTGTGAAGCTACATTCTCCTACCCAACCCAAATCAGGATGCCCTTAGGGTCACAAATACTGATGCCCGTGTAGAGGATCAGCTGAAACTGCGGACCTCCACACTGCAGCCAAACATTCAACGCTTTCCAACAGAAAGCAGACACAGCGAAGTCATTAAAAGTTTAACTTTAAAGTTAGTTTTCATTTTTTGAAATTATTAAGTACATAGGAGTTAGATTTTTACAAAACTATGTACATTTTTAAGTATATCTAATTGATCTAATTGAATGTGGCCTTATTTGATTACAGCTAAGTTAACGTGGCCTTCCAACATGAAAAGGTTCCCCATCCTGTGCTAGCCACCCTGTTTGGCCACGTCCTAGGGCAGCCTGCTCATCCCCGCTGCCCCCACTGGGGGGCGCTTGCCTCCCCACTAACAGCGGGGAAATGCTTTCCCAGCGCCAGCTCGGCTCTCCGGCTGTCCGCCCGCTCCAGCCACACCTGCTGGTTCTCCGCGGCCTTCATCGGCCCGGTGCCTCCCTCTGCTTTCTGCTGTCACACGTTGAGGGTCTGGGGTTGTCCTTGGTTTGTCCCTCCCTGCTTTTATTCTGGTATTTGTGAAGATAGCTCATCACCTACTTTTGTTGTGAATGATGTTCACGGGTTTTGGGTTTTGCTTTCTAGTTTCCCTTTTTTTATGATGAGATTTCCTAAGACAAAAACTAGCCTGCTGCTGTATTCCTGGGTCTCCCTTCTAAAGATCTCTGGGAAAAGAGTTTCTCGTTTCTCTTGAGAATTAATCCCCCAAGCAAGGAATTTGTACTTATGTGTGAAACAACTAGTTTATTAGGGATCCAGCTGATTTTCTTTTAGTCACCCATCTGAGAGAACTACAGAACAACCACTTCTCATGGTCCGTAAGGTCACTACACCTGCAGCTAAGTGTACTGACTTCCCATTCCTCCCTCCTGCGCCATAAACAGCCCTTCACCCTTCCTTCAAGATTGATCTTTCAAAGTACACCGCTCTTCAGCTAGACTCCTGGCAGAGCTTGAACAGAACAAAAAATCCTGCCATTCCTCCAAAGAAGACATGAGTTTCCATTTCTTTTAGAGTTTTATTTTAGAGAAAAATCAGTTATTTTTCTTCTCTCTTACTGCCATTCAACTTGCTTCACCACAAATAACCTGGTGGATCAACCCTCTCACATCTCTGGTTTTACCTGACACATCTGTGTAAGCAAGGCACAAGACAAAATAAATGCGTTTAGACAGTTGGGAGTTAGCCCAATTGTTTTCTCTATTTCTCTCCCAGATCAGATTTTAAAGAGTTCTGTCTTTTGTATACATGAAAGTCCTACTTTTGTACCCAAAGACTGATTTTTCTACAAAGACAGTTCGACAGTCTTTAATGCCATTTTTTAACTCTAATTAACGAAAATAGTGGCAAACAAATAGAAGGAATGTGCTTGGTTCTGAGCTCAGTTTATAGACACATTGATGAACACATTGACTTGCCATGTGAGTTGTGTTTAACTCAGGGAGGTTGGGCCGTGTGAAGCAAAACCCTGCAGTTGGTTTGTGAAAATACTATTTATTGAAGTTCCTACTGTTACAATTAAATTGACAATTTAATTCTAAACATGTGGATTGTGTTGCATATAACTCACACACATGAAAACAATAAAAAAATTAGAAAGTATTGTTTTGTTTTAATAAAATATCATAGCCCCAGGGGAAAAAATTCTTTTTCTAATGTGGCAGCCAATGTATTAAAGAGATCTAGGGGAAATTTAAATAGACTTAAAAATTACTTTTTTTTCAAGCATCGTCTTGCAGTCAGCAGACATCCTATTTGCAGCCTGAAGGCAGACAGTCACTATCCATTACTCGATAAACAGTAGGTGAGAAGATGGGAGCAACATGGTAATCTAGTCTGCTTCTACACTCCGGTGTTTCTTCCTCATGTGAAAGCTAAACATCTTGAAATCCTTTCATGAGCTACTGATTCTGGTCTTGATTTGCACACGAGAAAGTGAAGTCAAATGAACACGTGGGCAGAATATGCCTGTAGATCCTGTGTGGCCAGAAGCAGAGAAGCTCCCAGAAGGGGAGAAGCTGCTGCTGCTGCTGGCGTGTGTGTGTGTGTGTGTGTGTGTGTGTGTGTGTGTGTGCATGCACATGTGTGCTCCCAACGGGAATTTGTCTGGATCGTGTGGGAAGGCTTAAATAATATATTCACAAATAATAAACCAGATCATTCCTTTAGTGCATTAATCAGCTTTCACTACATAGCACTTCCGTGAAATACACTTTCGTAAGTGCCGAGGAGGAAATGTGTCGTATCCCTGGAGCATGGAAAGACGCTCAGTGGAAACATGGGGGGACAGGGAGAAACAGGCCCACACTCCGCAGCCCGTGGATCTGAATGCCCACAGATGACACGGGCGCCATGTAATCCAGCTGCCAGAGTTTTGGCTTGCAGTGGTTAGGAAGGGCTTTGGAATTTTTTTATTAGAGTTGAGCAGTAATGGCAGAAACTTATGCAAATTTGTGCAAAATCCAGAAAGGATGGGAAGCACTAGGAAGAGAGCAGGAAAGAAGAGGCCTGCTGTGGATCACACTGTGGTGATCATTGGTGACTTCTTGAAAATCGACCCAGATTTTGCATCTTTTTCCTTGTGTTGTCTGCATGACAGGGTGTAAATGCAGCAATGGGCTGGTGACATCTCTTCATCTGACTCCCGGCACTCACCAGTCAACAGCTGCTTCATGGCCTGCTAACTCGGTTATATTTCACTTCCCGTTGCTCAGAGCCACTAGTTCAGGGCCGAATACCCGATCATTTCTAGATGCCTTTGTACAGGGAAAAGAGACATCAATGGGAAATAGGAAATCATCTAACTAAGAGGCTTTCACTTGAAGGTCTAATTTGAATCAATTCACAGTCTAATAGGGAGGTGAATTGTTAAGAATTGTCTAAGTCCAGGGCCTGTCAGCTCCCGGCCAAAACACATACTTGGCAGTTAAAGAAAGTTATTACGCATCGCCTTCTCACTTCCAGAGAAGAATGCAAACGTACCCTATGACCGCCAGGGCCGGAGTCGGAGGGGGCGGGCAGGGGCTCCCTGGTGCACACTGCCTGTTGCCCCGGATCCTAGAATCCTGTTTAACACCCTTTGGCACTTTCATGAATCGTTGTTGAAGCATATTCCACCTGGTGCCACCCAAGGAACAGCTGTTGTCCTTTCTCCACAGCCGGCTGCCCAGAATGGACTCTGGGTAGGACCGTCCCTTCCTAATTGCCCAACACTGCACCCCACATGCCGCAGTCACTAGATCCAGGCTGCCCCAGAGAGGGACAAAGGTAGGCAGAGGGCAATTCCTGGGGAGGGCCTCCGCGCTGAGCCCGACCGGGAGGCAGTGCTCTCGGAGGGCCTGTGGTGGGCCCTCCCGGAAGCTGCTGTTGTTTGAACACATTGGCTGCCATGTGAGTTGGGTTTAACTCAGGCTGGTTTTGAGCCCAGGGCTTTGTGAGACAAAACCCTGCAGTTGGTTTGTGAAGTCTTACTTGTTGATATTCTTATTGTTACAATTAACATTGACAATTTAATTCTAAAAATGTGGACTATATTGCATATAACTCGCACACAGAAAACAATAAAAAAGGTAACAAATTAGAAAGGATTGCTTTGTTTTAATAAAACACTGTGGCCCCAGGGAAAATTTATTTTTCTAGTGTGGCAGTCAGTGTGTTAATCTTGATATATTATGGTCACGTTTACCATCTCAAATCTTTTATTTATCTGTTTACTCTCCTAAACAGTAGGACTAATTAGATGCCCAATAGAAGTCAGCACCTCACTCACTGGAAGACTGTTTCTCCATAAGCTATTTCAAGTGGGACGGATATGTCCATGCAAGTAGACAAGTCGCCACCATAAAACAACACGGACCAGTCTGGCTTAGTGGGATTGCAGTGCGTCCTGTAGAGTCGGCATCATGAGCTTTCTCGGAACGCCAGGGCTCCCTCCTTCGCTTCACTCCTGGCATCACTGATGTGAGCCATGACGGAGGGGCCCCTTCTCTTGCCCTAAGTCTGATCCCACCTGTACTCTCCTTGGATTTGAGAAGCATGGACTGGACAGAGGCACTTGCAAATTCTACTTATGTAAAAGTGACTTTCCCCCTCGAAAATTGTCTTCTTCAATTTACATGTAGATATTTTGATCTTCCTATACTTTGAGGGCAGAATCATGAACTCCAATTTAAAGCCACCTTTGCATTTATTGAGGAATATATGAGTATGTATTAATTGGCTAGGGTTGCCATAACAAAATGCTGCAGACTGGGCAGCTTAAACAACAGACATTTATTTTCTCACAGTTCTGGAGGCTGGAAGTCTGCGGTTGCGGTGCCGGCAGTGTTGGCTTCTCCTGAGGCCTGTCCTTGGTGTGTAGACAGCTGTCTTCCCCTGCGTCCTCACATGGTCTTCCCTGTGTGAGTGTCCGCGCTCTTAGAAGGACACTAGTCGTATTGGATTAGAGGCCACCCATGTGACCTCATGTTAACTTGATTGCTTCTTTAGAGACGCTCTCTGCAAATACAGTCCCATTCTGCAAATACAGACCCTGAGGATGAGCACTTCAACATATGCAATGTGGGGGACACAGTTCAGCCCATCACAGTGTATCGCCCACTACACTCTTTAGTTCCTGCTCTGTCAGGACTCACACCCCCAAAGAATTGTTTTTAGACCTGTGTCCAGAATGTTTTTTCCTTAAAGGGCTGTTGTTCTTTCTCTCAGGGATAGTTTTTAATTCTGTAACTTTCTTTAGATGTCAGTTGCGTCCATAGTCATTGTGCCTAGAGCTGCACTTCCAGCCCACGTTTGGAATAGCACTGCGGCTCTCAGACCTGAGCACGCACCGGCATCACCCAGAGCTCTGGTTAAAACACAGATCTTTGGGCTCCACCCTGAGTTTCAGTCTTAGCAGGTCTGGGGTGAGGCCTGAGAATTTGCATCCCCGCAAGCTCCCAGGGGCTGCAGATGCTGCTGGTGGGGGACCAGACTTGTAGAACAGCTGGCGCAGCTCACCCTGCCACTCCAGGGGCTGTCCACTAAGGGGCGCCCTGGGAGCGCCTCTGGCCTGGGCTGTCGCTACCGTGTCAAGCTGCTCAGCATTCCCTGACTCCCGTGTGGGCACCTGTGCACAGGGACCCTGGCGCCTCCCATTGGCGTCCTTGTCCTTGTGGAAAGGCTCTCACCTTAAATTGTCACCACCCAACCTCGGCTGTGGCTTTCAGACTTCAAAATTTTAAATAAAGTGGTAATAAATAAAGCAGTCATGAACTATAAATCTTTATTTAATAAGCGACCTTTTGTTACCAAAGTGATCGGCACATGCAAAATAGAGCCTAGGAATATGAAAGGGTCTTACTTTTGCTTTCTTGTTCTTAAATTTTATCTGTCAGAGTCAATAGAAGATTCCATTTACTTGTGAAATTAATTTCCTAACCATCTGTCATCTTCCATCTTCACTCCTTATTTTTGGCACAGTGCAATGTGAGCTATTTCTATTTAAAACTAAAATATGCTTGCAATTGACAGCAAGATAAGCATAAGGTTTTGCATGACTCAGCTAGGTTAATCAAAGAAAATGGTTGCTATTTTGGGAGAAGTGAAGCTAATTAAATATGTAACTAATTATATATATATTAGAGAAAACTAATATGATTAAATTGTAATTTTGAATGGTATGAGTCAGTCTGATGATTAAAAGCGAGAGTCATGAGTAAATACAATGTATTAACTATACTGAGGACTGCATGATTGAAGTCTTGAAAAAGTTGTGATGGGCTTGGTTATGTATATACTCCACAAGTTTGTGTCCAAGAATTTTAAATGGTCAGCAAGCTTTATAATTACATTATAATTTTTAAAATGATTTCTAGCATTTTTCCAAGTGATATGTAGAAAATAATGATCAAAAACGCAACTTCGTGGAGGGAAAAGAATTCTACTAGAGGAAATAAAAGGCACAGGGAGAAATGTATTATTTTGTTACAAGCAAATTTGTAAACACTTGGCTAGCAAAGAATGTCAGAATTTTTTTTCTGTTTTCATCACACTTCAAATTAGCATTTGAAGGCAAAAAGACTATTGCCTTTTGTCAATAGCAAGATGAGAAATAAATTTTGCATGTGGCAAGGAAGAAGAAAAAAATGAATCAAAAACCCATTTTTAAGGGCGACTCTGGGCAGAACCAAGTGGTAACTCTAGGAGAGAGGGAGGTGGAGATGGGAAGACAGATCCCCTCCACTGCCCCAGGGTTCGCCCTCAGGTTCGTGCTCATTTGTGGTCTCCGTTTGGTCCAGGGCAAAGAGGAGTTGAAGGATAAAACAGTAAAATCATTGAGAGAGGCAACCTGAGATTCTCGATCACAGGTTATTTAAGAGGAAAATTGCCTGTTCTTTCAAATGGAATCCTAAATTTTAATTCTCACAGCTGGGGTATGTGTGCTACTCAGTCTCCATTGTAAAGAAAAATGTGCACTCACATAGTGTCTCAGTTTGTTCAGGCTGCTGTAACAAAATACAGCAGGTCCTAGAACAACTTGTTTTGGTATAAGGTTGATGAGAAAAAAAATTGATGCTGCGGGGAGCAGCTGACTATGGAGTCTGTGTGGGTTTCTCCTGGCTCTCTGGTTTCCTCCCCATCCCAAAGCTGTGCCCACTAGGTGAACTGGCATGTCCACATGGTCCCAGTGTGAGTGTGTGTGTGTGTCTGTGTGTGTGAGTGTGCCCTGAGCTGCTGGGATAGGCTCTGGCCACCCAAGATCCTGGACTGGAATAAGTGGGTTGGTATGAATGAATGAATGAATGACTACAAATTATTGTCAAGTAATAATTTGTCAAGTCTACCACAATCAAAGAGATGCATTACAGTAAACGATGTGGTAGGAGAGTGCTCAGACAGCCACCATGCCTGTGATGGCTGGTTTTGAACTGCCCAGTGGCACGATGTGCTCCTGACAATTTTTGCTTTGCAAACATTTATTCCCTGATTTAACCTACCACTGCTACAACCAGCATCCCTCACTGATTCACCAAAAATTGGTGAATAAGTCTCTTACCTGTTTTTATTAATCTTTCTTAAATGAATGTGTACATCATATTTATTTCAAAGTTTAATATTAGAGGTGCTTGAGTCTTTATTTAGAAATTTGATGATGTTTTTGTGACCAGAAATATGCTGTAGGAAATTAACTCTTGTTTATATCCAAGAGCCTATGAGGAAATTGGTGCTTCTGGACCAAGTATTCTAAGGAGAGCAGGCATCGATAGGGCCGTTGTCCAGTGTGGGAAAATGAGCCCTTTCGGCTGGATGTAATGAGTATTTAAGTTTAATAAGCATTAAATAAGCATGTTAATTCCCAGGAGCACATGGGGTGCTGCTAAAAATGGAGAGGTGCATGCTTTCCAGCGAAGCAGGCAGACAGGTGGCAGAGGGCACGCAGCCAGACTCACAGAGCGCCCCTCAGGGGAGCAGTCCCGGTGTGGGGCCACTGGAGACACAGCAATGGCACTACACTGGAAGGGACTCGTAGCAGTGATTTTCAAGGTGTATCCATGGACCAGCAGCATCATCATCACCTGGGAACTACTTGTCAGAAACGTAGACTCTTGGGCCCCATGCACATCTACTGAATGGAGAAGGCTGAGCTTGGGGCAGCAAGCAGTGTTAGAACAGGCCCTCTACCCAGACACAGCAAATAAAAATACAGGACACATAGTTAAATTTGAATTTTAGATAAATGACTTATTTTTCAGTATTAGCATGTCTCAATTATTGCATGGGACATGTGTAATACTAAAAAATGATTCGTTGTTTAACTGAAATTCACATTTAACTGGGGTTCTGTGTTTTATAGGGCAGTTCTGCTCATTCTGATTCATGCCAAAGTTTGGGAACCACTGGCCTGAAGGCTTTGCCTAGATCAAGAACACTGTCTGGCCATTTCCATTATGAACTCCAAATGTCCTATTTCCTTAGATTCTCCCTTACTTTTACCTCCCTAACTGGCAACTTCACTTTCCACAGCCTTCTCTTCCTGAATCTGATGCTAGCTTATCCAAACCAAACAGACACAATGTCGCTGTATTTTCATCTGGTATATACCAACAGGGTTTAAAAATATGGAGGAGGACTATTGTCCCATCAGCATTTGTGAGCTAAATAGCTCTCACATTCTCTTCATCTCTGTCCTTATGCACACACCTCAGAAACACTTTGGGTTATGATTTGTTCTGATATTTGCACTGTTGTCTGAAAGTATTACTATTTGTTCCCACCAAAGAATGACCCAAGAGCATCAGTGCACACCTAAGATCCGAGGACAGGGTTGTTGGAGACAGTCATTTCCCAGATGCATCTATATGACTGTTATCAAAATGCGCTAGAAAATTTATAGAGCAGCACATTTCTGCAATGACAGAAATTACAGCCACGCACTGCACTGGAATTTCTTTTACTATCAAAGTGACACTTACCATTTAGGAGGAGTGATGTTCTCAGAAGACGGTGTGCTGACTTGGTCCCTGGACAGCAGATGAGGATAAAGGGAATGTTCGCTGCCCCTGCCTGGGAGCTGGGCTTTGAAGGGCGGTGGCAGGGCTTGTGTGTGGAATTCTGCAAGTCAGAAACAGTATGGTTATTGATTACATGAGCTTTGTTTCCTAGATCAGTAGCGATTTGGGGCAGCTGAAGAAAAGTGTCTGTGACCCTCACATTTATTTCCCTGCTGCCTTCTCTCTTGATCCTTCTTGTCTGATTCTCTCTATTCATGCTGTCATTTACTTTTCCTGTGCCCTTTCACATTAGTGGCTTCTTAGCTTCGTCTGTGAGTTTTTAAAGATGTTCCCAAATAAAAATTGCTTGGGTCTACTATTTATTCATGTGGCTACCTCGGAAAAGGGTTACACTGTGTACAAGCTGACCAGGGCACGAGCCTGCCCAAGTTCATATGTGCATTTACAAAACCCTCAGGAATGGCCCTCCCTCGCTCTGCACCAGCTCCATGCCTGCTTATGTGCATATTGAATAGGTCCAGTCATCAAGAGCCACTAAACTAAAATTAAAGGAAAACTGCATGCTTCAAAATTATTGAAGGACATGCTCTTGCATTGGTTCCAAGTTGGGCACAGAGCTACATGGAACTGTCGATAGTTAACTACTTCGGTACGGCGCTCACGGGCCGAGAAACCTCCCACAGCCGGCGCGCACAGTCCCACCGGCAGTCTGCGCTGCGCACTGACAGCGAGTCCATTTTGCTCCTGTGTGATGAGGACAGCTTGAAAGCACTGACAGCTTGTTTCACTTTGCAGGCAGCTTACTTGTAATGTGAATCAGAATAGGTGACATATACATGTATGTTTTCATTATGTTAGTTTTAAATGTTCACAATTTTATTTTGATAAATGAAAAATTAGAAAAGTCATATCACGGCTGTCGGCTACAGTCGACGCTCGGCTGTGCGCCTTCGTATCACGGCTGTCGGCTGCAGTCGCTGTGCGCGTCCATCTGTGGCTGTCGACTATAGTTGACGCTGGTCCCGAAGTGGCTAAATAACCTTAAGTATGGGTGGCAGAGGAAATGGTGTAGTTTATGACAGATGATTACTAACCAGCCAAGGTTGGTTGAATTATTGTTTCAAGATACTCATTGGCTAAGGGCCTAGGAGGGTTATATACTATTTCACTAACATGTTCTACAGAGAAAGAGAGATAAAGTATACTTTATTCTTGTTAGTGGTACAACTGACTACAACAGAAAACCTTAGCCCCTAAAGTCTGATGAAAGCTTTTTAAATTTCCTTTTTCTTAACCAGAATCTGATCAAAGATTCAATATAGAGAGGAAACAGTGCATTTTATGCTTAAGAAGAAGAAAATGTATGTAGTACATCAAGATACAGGTTTTTAACATATTTATATTTAGCAGGTTAGAATTGAGACAAGAATGTTTGGTCTGGACAATGATCCCAAGTTGGTAATTATCCTTGTGGCCCTAAAGTTGATCAGGGTTGTACTGAAAAAAGATTATTCAAAGATCTGGACAACTAAGATTTCAACAATGTTGGCAGCACAGGGGAAACTAACTTACTGTGGTGATATACTGTCTGTGTTGGGAAACTACTTCACCTGGGCTTATAATGATCACTTTTTACCTAGTAGTAGATATAATACAATTGCTGCACATTGGTTTTCATCTTGTAGAAACAGCGCCTAGGCAAAAGCACGGAAGACCCCAATATAGACTAGAATGGAAGTAGGCTAGTCTCAGCCCTGTCAAAGTCCAAGTGCTGCTGGCCAAGGCTGGGAGGGGCAGCAGGGGCTGACATTCCCACGTAAGGCAGTGGCAAGTGAAGCTGACAAAACAAGGAATGGAGTTCGGAGGCTATTATTTAAAGGTGTAAAGATAAGAAATAAAAGAATCAAAATAAACAGAGAATTTACAGAATAGTAACAAAGAGTAAATTATAAGATTTTAAAGAAGAGTTGTTAGAGCCGGAATCCACAGTACCACAGAACAGAGAGACAGAGTCACTGGGGCCGAAATCACCACAAGGAGTTTTATTGACTAGCTCCAGCTAGGGTTGAGTCTCAGAGCACCAATGCAGTGGCCTCTATTCTGACAAGGACCCCTCCTTGGGTATCTCTTAAATACCTTTTCTTTTCTTCCCTCCTCCTGCAATTTTTCTCAGCATTTTATTGCATCCCTTTTACGGTTGGCTATGGTTGGTCCTGGGCTGTCAGTTGATTGGTTCTAGAACCAGGGCTTTTTCTCTGCATTTTATTTCAGCCTTTTGTTGCGTTATCTTGGCTCCCCCGAGACTTTCCATCCTCTTATCAGGAAATGACCTGCAGTCACCACCCTTTTGGGGCCCAGCACCTGCCAAAGCCTATATGGCTTCACTCAAACTATACATATTGCAAACAAGCTTAGGGAACAGAAGCTAGAAGAAGCTGTTAGCCTTACTTTTTCTATGGTTCCTATTTCCTACAGAGTAATAGAGTTAGCCACCAGAACAGCATTAACATAAGGGTTCCTGGTGCTGGGAAGAAAACATTTCTTCTACCAACTCAGGTCTGGGGGAGGGGCAGGGATGCAAGTTAATTGACAACAGGCAGGTTAACAGGAGAAAGGTTGCTTCAACTGTATTCAGCAGTGCACTAAAAGGAATGGCTCCAGGGTGAGGGTTTGGATACCAGCATAATATTAATAAAAGAGGAGGGGGCTTAGATCTTGAGGGAAGGTTTTGATAGGGCTTGTTTATATAAGTTTTCATCTTGGTGCTAATGATCAGTCTCTGGCTGGCTGAAGCTCCCCCAGAGAAGGATTTATGGCATCTTCATTCACACAAAGCTCTGCCTTTAATCAGATAAGGGAAGCTCAGAAAAGGCTCCCACCCGCACCTGCCGTGTCTCTGATGTCTTCTGTCCAGAGCAGTCTTTATTCCATGCTGGTGTGTTGTGGCCCTTTCCCTGGGAAGCTGTGCTCCCGGTGGGATGAGCAGGGCAAAGAGGTTTTTAAACTTTTCTCTCCATGCAATTTGATTTCCTTCTATACCCATGAATTACTCTGATAAAAGAGAAAAAGAGGGAAGATCCCCCACCCAGCCCGATCCAGTGAGCCGTGGCTCTGGCAGGGGCAGCAGGTCCTGTAGGGGACCGGCCAGGGAAGCCATGTGATGGACGACGACGCCCCAACTGAGGCAGGGGTGGCTGAAGCATCACTTCCTGCCGTCCTCACTTCCATGGACACCTCAAAGGAAGTTTCGGTGACTAATGAGTTAATGAATTATTAGCAATGAGTAACTACAGTTACTTATGGTATCTTACTATTATAATTATAATATTTAATAATTAATGAATTATTAGAGGAGTTTTAAGTTATTAATGAGATGTTTTCCAATTCTAGTTCCTGTGGCCCCCTGTTCAAGTTTCTAAAAATAATAAATTTTGAATTAACTTCCAAATATTATTATGCTTTAAAATTATATTAGTCAAACCCTAGAGTTACCTCAAAGTGTCTACTTTGTTGAAATAAGTAGAACACACACCATCCACCCATCCATTCAGCAGATGTTCTGTGCCTGGCTCAGGGGCTGTGCGGTGAGTGCCACCAAGGCCCCACAGGCGCTGGACACCAGGCAGCAAATACACATGGCAGCCCCAGGTCTGGAAGTCACTCTCTGAGCCAACACCTTTAGATGAGATGGTTAAGGAAAGCCGTGTGCTTGTATCAGTCCGGGTTCTCCAGAGAAACAGAACCAATAGGGTGCTCCATCCATCTAGCCATCTATCTATCTGTCTACCTATCTATCTATTATCCATCTCTCTATTGAGAGAAGTTTGTTTTGAGGCATTGTTCATGTGATTTTGGGGGCTGGCAAGTCTGGAATCTGCAGGGCAGGCCGGCAGGGTAAAGCCCCAGAGAAGCATCGCAGCTCTGTTCCAAGGTAGTCTGCCGCAGGGCTCCCTCCTCCTGCGGGAGACCAGTGTTTTTCTAAGGCTTTCAGCTGATTGGATTAGGCCTGCAGGGGAGGAAAAAAAATTTTTCTCTATCCATCTTAGGTTCATTGAATGGGGCCCTACAAATTAGACTGACAAAAGCAGATTAACAAGAGAGAAACAAACGGAAGTTTATTAATACATGCTTCACACTTACACTTGGGAGTTCTCAGACATGAGTGACTCAAAGAGGGTATTGGCCTAATTTCGCATCTTAACAAAGAATGATAAATTTGTAGAAAAGTGACAAGACAAAGGAAAAGGAGTTCAGGCTTTTAGGGGCAGGAAACCGAAAGGTAAACCTATGGGGAAAACAAGTAGAAGAGTTTGTTTGAGTAGACTTTTGGTGTTATCTCGTCCTCAGTGATCAGATTGTCATCCCCTTGCTGATATGGGAGGGTGGGGGACACCTTCACAAAGGGAAACTCATGTTCTATTTTAAGGTAAGGAGTGGGACAGCAGAGAGCAGCATCCCGTGTCTGCATTTCCTCAAGTGCCTTCAGCCCCAGATAACCCCCAAGCCACAGTGCTGTGTTCCATGCGGCAGCGCACCCCACACCCTTCCGGTCCCCCGCACTGTGCAGGGTCGTCTGCCTTACTCAAAGTCCAGTGATTCAACTGTTAATTTCATCTAAAGAAATACCTTCACAGAAAACATCTAGAGTAACATTTGACAAAATATCTGGGTACTGTGGCCCAGCCGACTGGACAGATAAAATTAACCGCCACGTTGACCAAGTTAAAATACTCGACATCCCAGGCAGGAGGATGACCCGCCCCAGCCTGGAGGAGGAAAGCCAGACAGGGTCTGTGTGTCCTCAGTGACACGGGCAATGAGGAGGAGGGGCCTGGAAGGCTAGTCTGGAGCCACTTTGTGTTGGGAGACTCGTGTTTACTCTAAAAGCTATGGGAATGAAATTGTTGAAGGGAAAAAATATGTATGGCGCCAGGCGCCAGGGCTTCTCCTACAGAGAGCTGCTTTCTCACTCCACGCACCCGGCGGCCCGCGCGGCGCGCCGAGGAAGCCGTTTGCCCTACTGAACAGTGACTGACGGAGTCTAGTTGCAACAAGGAAGAATGATATTAAATGTATAAGGTAGCCCTTTTCTTACACTTT